TTTAATAATACTGAACTGTACCTTTAAAAATGGTTTAAGATGATAAATTTTATGTTGTGTGCTTTTCACCATCATTAAAAAAATAAAGTTTTCTAACAAGAGAAAGAAAGAGGAGGTAGGAGAGTCAGAGTCAGAGAAGGGGATTCGAGGATGGAAGCAAAGATTGGAGTGAAGGTGGACCACGAATCATGAATGCAGTCTCTAGAAACTAGAAAAGGCAAAGGAAAGATTCTCCCTTAGAGCCTCCCAAAGGAACACAGCTCTGCCAACACCTTCATTTTAGCCGCGTCAGACCTGTTTTGGATTTGTATTTTTCAAAACGTGAGATAATTGGACTTCCCTGGTGGTCCAGTGGTTAAGAATCTGCCTGCCAATGCAGGGAACAGGGGTTCGATCCCTGGTCTGGGAAGATTCCACATGCCACAGGACAACTAAGCCTGTGTGTTACACTGTGTGTTACAACTACGGAGCCTGGGTGTGGCAACTGCTGAAGCCTGTGCACTCTAGAGCCCACACTCAGCAACAAGAGAAGTCTCCACAAAGAGAAGATTGAACACCACAACTAGGGAAAACTGGTGCACAGCAACGAAGACCCAGTGCAGCCCAGAAGTAATTAATTAATTTTTAAAATATGAGATAATACATGTGTGTTGTTTTAAACCACTGTACATGCCAAGTTGCTTCAGTTGTGTCTGACTCTTTGTGACGCTATGGATGGTAAACCACCAGGCTCCTCTGTCTGTGGGATTTCCCAAGGAAGAATACTGGAGCGGGTTGTCATTTCCTCCCCCAGGGGATCTTCCCGACCCAGGAATCAAACCTGTGTCTCTTCTATCTCCTGCACTGGCATTGGCAGGCAGGTTCTTTACCACTAGCACCACTTGAGGAGCCCCTTTAAGCCACCAGGTTTGTGATAATTTGTTACAGCAGCCATAGGAAACTAATACTTCATCTGATTTTCCTAAAGTTGTATTTTATATTGATTTCCTTATCAATTACTTGGTGCTGTTCATAATTAGTTTTAATTTTCTTACTTCATATATTATTTCCAGAAATCTGACTTAGCAAAGGTTGAAGTGGTCAGGAAACAGAACCTCAACCAATAAACCTCCAACCCTTGCTTGCGTCAGGTTGTGTCAACAAGAGGATATTGTAATATCCTCCTCTAAATTTATCTTAAAACTAGCACAAAAGCGTTAGTAAAATTTCCACAAACTTTCCTAACAATAAAAGTGTTTACATTTCAAAATCTGAGTTTTGAGGTAACAATAGGTAAATGTCCCAAGTCAGGTGGTGCTGGGGAGCAAACTGGAGAGCAGAATAACTGGTGATGAGGAACACAGGCTTTAGGGTTATTTAGTTCAAGGTCAAATACCAGCGCTGACACTTCGGATCTGTCTGACTATAGGCAAGAGCTTCAAATTAATTACTGAAAATAGTGATAATTTTCAGAGAAGGCAATGGCAACCCACTCCAGTACTCTAGCCTGGAAAATCCCATGGACAGAGGAGCCTGGTATAGGCTGCAGTCCATGGGGTCGTGAAGAGTCGGACTTGACTGAGAGACTTCACTTTCACTTTTCACTTTCATGCATTGGAGAAGGAAATGGCAACCCACTCCAGTGTTCTTGCCGGGAGAATCCCAGGGATGGGGGAGCCTGGCCCGCTGCCGTCTATGGGGTCGCATAGAGTCAGACACAACTGAAGCGACTTAGCAGCAGCAGCAGCAGTGATAATTTTAGAGTTACTGTGAGCATTAAATAATGCATCTGATGTCAAGTGCTTAGCCAGTGTCCCTGGTACCTATTAAGTACTTGATAAAAGTTGCTGTTGTGTTAGTTGTTATTATTTTCATAACTCCTGATTATGAATGTGAGTCCAGAGTGCACAGGTTTTGTTGTTTTCCCTGTACTGTTCACATTATAAGATCATCTTGCAAATTGCCAGGCAAATGTCTTATAGCTTTGTCCCATGATTCAACTCTGAATCAAAAGAGTACTTGAAATACTGCCAACAGCCTGACATGGAAATGAGAAATCAACCATTCGACTTCTTACAAAACCTGTCTGCACACAACAAGTCAATTGCACAGGTCTCCTGGCTCCAATCTAGAATTCCATCAGTGAAAGAACACATACCCTTAGTGACCACCACTACCAATGATAGTCATTTCGGATGACGCATTTCGAACCTGAACATTTAAAATACCACCAAGCAGATTTATGTAAACTAATGTATCATGATATCCAAAATACATTATTAAGTGAAAGACATAAGCTATAGGATTGACGGGAAATCTGATCTAATTTTAGGGAAGACAATTATTATATGTATTTATATACATACAGACAAAAATCTGAAACAGTCACTTTGTACACTGTCTAGTTTTCATCAACTTATTTTATAATATGTATGTTTAGCAACCAGAAAAGATAAATTTTATTGCCACAAGCACTTTTAAGTTTAGTGTGCCCTCAACTTTTACTGAGGATTGATTTTTGTATCATGTGAAGAATTTAAATGATCATGTGAAGAATTTACATCTTCTGCAAAACTGTCAGTACCAGGTCACACCAGTAGTCCAGGAATCCAACCTGAAGTAACTTAAGCATACAAAGGGAATACCCACATCGCCAGAGAACAGGAAGGGTGGTCTTATCTGGTCTGAGAGAACTTAGATATGGCCAAGAATGATTAATTCTGTCTCTACTTTCATTTCTCCTTTCTCTTCCCTGACATGGCCTCATGGCACTCCATGCCTACATTATTATGGCTTCCTGACAGGAGAGGAAAGTCTTTTCCTTCCAATCTCCATTTAGGAAAGTCCTAGAGAGGATTCTGATTAGCCTGCCTGGATTGGGGACCAGTCACTGTAGTCAAATGTGTGAGGTCTTATGATTGGCAACTCCTACACCTCCCTAGTTCCATGGGGTTGTAATTGGGGAAATGGCTGTTTAAGTATATAACAAAGTCCCATAGACTAGATGGCTTATAAACAACAGAAAGTTGTTCCTCACAGTCCTGGAGGTTGGAAGTCCTGTATTAGGGTGCTGGCACATGGTCAGGTTCTGGTGACGGCACTCTTCCAAGTTGCAGACTGTGAACATCTTGTATCCTCACATGATGGAAAGACAGTGAGCTAGCTCTCTGGCCTCTTTTTTTAAGGGCATGAATCTCATTCATAAGGACCCACCCTCGTGACCTAATTACCACCCAAAGGTCTCATATCCAAATATCATCACATTGGGATTAGGGCTTCAACAAATGAATTTTAATAGGAGGACACAAGCATTCAGTCCATAACAATGGCCTTTCCCCAAAGAAGGGTGGTCCTGTTCTGGGCAGATGGAGCCACATATTTTTATTGCTGAAGATATTGCCAGGTTGCATTCCAGCATCTGTTGTAAAAGTTCTTTGGTGATCAATTTGCCCTTAAGCTATGGCTTAGAGACAGGAAGTGTCAGTATGCTTGGGGAAAATGGAAGACTGAGGGACTCAGTTTTACAGAATAGCATCTGTAATGAGCAGTAGCCAAGTATAAGGTTGGAGACCTAAACTGACAATATATTTAGTAAACAAACCATAAGGGCCAGCCTAAAAAATTTGTCTGGATCAATACATTTATTTTAGAGATAATTAGAGGTACATATGTTTTTAATACCAAGGTCTTTAAGGTCTTGAGATCCTCAATTTCAAAATTTTTAAAACCTAGGTTTTTAGGAACAGAAGCCACACTATTTGAAAGGAAATATGTGTGTGTGTGTTAAGTCACTTCAGTTGTGTCCAACTCTTTGTGACCCCATGGACTGTAGCCCGCCAGGCTCCTCTGTCCATGGGATTCTCCAGGCAGGAATACTAGAGTGGGTTGCCATGCCCTCCTCCAGAGGATCTTCCAGGGATCGAACCCAGGTCTCTTATGTCTCCTACATTGGCAGATGGGTTCTTTACCAATAGTGCCACCTGGGAAGTCCATTGGAAAGGGAATAGAATGTGCAAATTTGAAAATGAGTAAACATGTATTGGTGACAGGACTATTCTATCAAGGAGTTCTATTAAGAAGCCTGCATTAGTCCAGAGAATCAGAACCAACAGAATGTAGGTGGATAGATAGATAGATAGACAGATAGATGAATTTATCATAAGGTATTTGCTCATGCAATTAATGGAGGCTGAGAAGTACCACGTTTGCAATCTGCAAGTGGATGTCTAGGAATGTGGTGTAGTTCAAAGTTTTGAAAGCCAGATCGCTGATGATATAGATTGCAGTCTGAGTCTGAAGGCCTGAGATCCAGAAATGCCAAGAGCAGAAGGTTGATATCCCAGCTTAAATGTTGAATCCAGTCTTCTTCTGCATTTTTATTCTATTCAGGCGCTCAGTGAACTGGATGAGGCTCAGCCACTTTGGGAAGGACAATCTGCTTTACTCAGTCTACAGATTCAAATGCTAATCTCTTCCAGAAACACCTCAGACACATCCAGAAATAATGTATAGCCAGATATCTGGACATCCCATGATCTAGTCAAGTGGACACATAAATTAATGATCATGATACCTTTACATCCTTACTAAAATTCTGAACTTTAACCTGTGCCAGCTGAATAACCTTTAGTTGGAAAATATTTCATCCTACAGAGTTCATAGAAGTTCTTTTGTTTTGACAAAGGTTGTAATTTTATCAGTAACCTTGGAAGTGGCTTTTGGCTAGCACACTTTTGACCTCTGCAGATATGTTCCCTGGCTCCAAAATGGACTTTGGAGAATGGGCAAACTTATCACTTCTTGGAAAAACAAAAGAAAAGGAAAGGAAAGAGAGGCATGCACTGGAGAGAAAGAGGATTTCAAAGATAAAAAGGTAATGACCACATAGTAGATAGAAACATAAATCAGTGCTTGTTTATCAGATTATAAATAGTCTTGTCTTTCCCCAGTGCCATGGCCATTGTGTTCCTGGGAAACCTCATGTCACTTAACATGTTCCAGGCAAATAGGGTTAACTGTACCTACTGTGACGGCTGTTTCACTACTGCAGCTGAGCTCAGTGGGAATTCCGCAGAAAGACTTCAAGCAGGGCTGAGCTTCGTCTTTCATGGATGTGCCATCTGTATTTCAAGAAGAACACACCGTGAATAACAATCAGTGCATTTTGGTGATGGTAGATGGCAATACAATACACTGGCAGATTTTTTAAAAAATTTTTTCTCAGAGCAGCACTATGTCATTGTGGTTTCTTCCCCTATAAATCATTGAGAAGTATTAGTGTTTTCCTTTTTTTAACCCAGTTTTTTTTGTCCTTTCCTTTTTTTCCCCCCATTTATTTTTATTAGTTGGAGGCTAATTACTTTACAATATTGTAGTGGTTTTTGCCATACATTGACATGAATCAGCCATGGATTTACATGTATTCCCCATCCCGATCCCCCCTCCCACCTCCCTCCCCACCCCATCCCTCTGGGTCTTCCCAGTGCACCAGCCCCGAGCACCTGTCTCATGCATCCAACCTGGGCTGGTGATCTGTTTCACATATAATAATATACATGTTTTGATGCTGTTCTCTCAAAACATCCCACCCTTGCCTTCTCCCACAGAGTCCAAAAGGCTGTTCTGTACATCTGTGTCTCTTTTTCTGTTTTGCATATAGGGTTATCATTACCATCTTTGTAAATTCCATATATATGTGTTAGTATACTGTATTGGTCTTTATCTTTCTGGCTTACTTCACTGTATAATGGGCTCCAGTTTCATCCACCTCACTAGAACTGATTCAAATGTATTCTTTTTAATGGCTGAGTAATATTCCATTGTGTATATGTACCACAGCTTCCTTATCCATTCGTCTGCTGATGGACATCTAGTATGTTTCCATGTCCTGGCTATTATAAACAGTGCTGCGATGAACATTAGGGTACACGTGTCTCTTTCCAATCTGGTTTCCTTGGTGTGTATGCCCAGGAGTGGGATTGCTGGGTCATATGGCAGTTCTATTTCCAGTTTTTTAAGGAATCTCCACACTGTTCTCCATAGTGGCTATACTAGTTCGCATCCCCACCAACAGTGTAAGAGGGTTCCCTTTTCTCCACACCCTCTCCAGCATTTATTGCTTGTAGACTTTTGGATAGCAGCCATCCTGACTGGTGTGTAATGGTATCTCATTGTGGTTTTGATTTGCATTTCTCTGATAATGAGTGATGTTGAGCATCTTTTCATGTGTTTTTTAGCCATCTGTATGTCTTCTTTGGAGAAATGTCTGTTTAGTTCTTTGGCCCATTTTTTGATTGGGTCATTTATTTCTCTGGAATTGGGCTGCAGGAGTTGCTTGTATATTTTTGAGATTAATCCTTTGTCTGTTGCTTCGTTTGCTATTATTTTCTCCCATTCTGAAGGCTTTCTTTTCATCTTGCTTATAGTTTCCTTTGTTGTGCAAAAGCTTTTAAGTTTCATTAGGTCCCATTTGTTTATTTTTGCTTTTATTTCCAATATTCTGGGAGGTGGGTCATAGAGGATCCTGCTGTGATTTATGTCAGAGAGTGTTTTGCCTATGTTCTCCTCTAGGAGTTTTATAGTTTCTGGTCTTACATTTAAATCTTTAATCCATTTTGAATTTATTTTTGTGTATGGTGTTAGAAAGTGTTCTAATTTCATTCTTTTGCAAGTGGTTGACCAGTTTTCCCAGCACCACTTGTTAAAGAGGTTGTCTTTTTTTCCATTGTATATCCTTGCCTCCTTTGTCGAAGATAAGGTGTCCATAGGTTCGTGGATTTATCTCTGGGCTTTCTATTTTGTTCCATTGATCTATATTTCTGTCTTTGTGCCAGTACCATACTGTCTTGAGGACTGTGGCTTTGTAGTAGAGCCTGAAGTCAGGCAGGTTGATTCCTCCAGTTCCATTCTTCTTTCTCAAGATTGCTTTGGCTATTCGAGGTGTTTTGTATTTCCATACAAATTGTGAAATTATTTGTTCTAGTTCTGTGAAGAATACTGTTGGTAGCTTGATAGGGATTGCATTGAATCTATAGATTGCTTTGGGTAATATAGTCATTTTGACAATACTGATTCTTCCAATCCATGAACCCGGTATATTTCTCCATCTGTTTGTGTCCTCTTTGATTTCTTTTACCAGTGTTTTATAGTTTTCTATGTATAGGTCTTTTGTTTCTTTAGGTAGATATACTCCTAAGTATTTTATTCTTTTTGTTGCAATGGTGAATGGATTGTTTCCTTAATTTCTCTTTCTGTTTTCTCATTGTTAGTGTATAGGAATGCAAGAGATTTCTGTGTGTTAATTTTATATCCTGCAACTTTACTGTATTCATTGATTAGCTCTAGTAATTTTCTGGTGGAGTCTTTAGGGTTTTCTATGTAGAGGATCATGTCATCTGCAAACAGTGAGAGTTTCACTTCTTCTTTTCCTATCTGGATTCCTTTTATTTCTTTTTCTGCTCTGATTGCTATGGCCAAAACTTCCAAAACTATGTTGAATAGTAGTGGTGAGAGTGGGCACCCTTGTCTTGTTCCTGACTTTAGGGGAAATGCTTTCAATTTTTCACCATTGAGGGTAATGTTTGCTGTGGGTTTGTCATATATAGCTTTTATTATGTTGGGGTATGTTCCTTCTATTCCTGATTTATGGAGAGTTTTAATCATAAATGGATGTTGAATTTTGTCAAAGGCTTTTTCTGCATCTATTGAGATAATCATATTGTTTTTATCTTTCAATTTGTTAATGTGTACTACATTGATTGATTTGTGGATATTAAAGAATCCTTGCATTCTTGGGATAAAGCCCACTTGGTCATGATGTATGATTTTTTTTAATATGTTGTTGAATTCTGTTTGCCAGAATTTTGTTAAGTATTTTTGCATCTATGTTCATCAGTGATATTGGCCTGTAGTTTTCTTTTTTTGTGGCATCTTTGTCTGGTTTTGGAATTAGGGTGATGGTGGCCTCATAGAATGAGTTTGGAAGTTTACCTTCTTCTGCAATTTTCTGGAAGTGTTTGAGTAAAATAGGTGTTAGCTTGTCTCTAAATTTTTGAGTTAAATATATAGAAGATAGGTCAAGTTGAAAAGGACAACAAATTTAATAAATTTAATAAAGGGTGAGAAATCTCAAGTAAGAGGAAGGAATGGTGAAAGAGATTTTCATAATTTAAGAAGATGTAAGGACTTCTTTTAAACCAAAAGAAGTATCAAGAAGTATTTGGTTAGCTCTGCTCTTCATGAAGTAATGCTTTGTATGGTCTCCAATAAATCAGTAATAATAAGAATGATAGTATTTAAATTGTTCTTACTATGTGTTATTCAATATTCTAGATATTTTACCCATATTTTAATTTACTTAATATTCATAACAACTCTGTGGGATGGCTACTATTGTAATCCCCATCTTATAAAAATGTGACAATACTGAGGCATAGCAAGGTTAAGCTATCTTCCCAGGGCATAGAGTAAACAGTGGAGCTTACATGAGCACTCAGGCAGTATGGCTTCAGATCCTGTGCTCTTAACTATGCCGTGTGCTATACTGTGCCTTGTCACTCAGTCGTGTCTTACTCTTTGCGACCCCATGAACTGTAGCCCGCCAGGCTCCTTTGTCTATTGGGATTCTCTAGGCAAGAATACTGGAGTGGGTTGCTATGCTCCTCTCTAGGGGATGTTCCCAACCCAGGTCTCCTGCATTGCAGGTGGATTCTTTACCATCTGAGCCGCCAGGGTAGCCTGAGAATACTGGAGTGGGTAGCTTACCCTTCTTTAGGGGACTTCCCAACCCAGGAATTGAAACTGGGTCTTCTGCTTTGCTGGCAGATTCTTTACCAGCTAAGCTACCAGGGAAACCCCCCTATGCCATACAACTTGATGAATAATTTTTCCATTTGTACTGAATTTTGTATTCTAGAAGATATTTACACTTTCATTATCTCTTATGTATAAACCCCGAATGTCACAGAGTGCTAGGCACATGGCAAAGGCTAGATTCAAATACAGACCTTCTGAAATGAAACCTACACTCATTCTCCCAGCCCACAATTCTTTCTTTAAAGTTTGGCTTTAGGTAAAACTCTAAACCAACAATTCCACTTTTGGAACTTAGTCTGTGAAAACATTTATCCAAGGGTGTAAGAATATATGTAAAAGAGAGTTCTTTCAAGCACTATTTGTAATACCAAAAAAAAGAAAAAGAAAAAATACCATCCAGGAAAAGATATAAATGGAAATGGTTCAATAAATTATGGTACAAATATGATATGCTATCTTGTGTTAGGATGTAGGTTTATCATTTAAAATTTCACATAGTTGATTTCAGCATATAGTTTGGTAATATGTTTAACTCCCTTTGTCAATCTCCATTTTTAAGTTGGTGTATTTAGATCATTTGCATTTAGTGTAATCATTGGTATGTTAGGACTGAAGTCTGTGTTTTACCTTTTGTTCTCAATGTATTTGTTTTTTGTGTTCCCCCCCTTCCCGCCCCACCCCGCCCCGGCTTCATTCCTGTGGGTTGCATGAATGTTTCTTTTAGAATTCCTTTTCTTCTATAGCACTTTTGAGTATTTGTCCTGGTTAGCTTTTTAAGTGGTTTCTCTAGGTAGTACATTACATATACCTAACTCATTACAATCTATTATTGTCAACATTTTACCCTTTCAAATGAAATACAGAAATTTAAATTCTTTGCCCTCCCCATTGTAATACAAATGTCTTAAACTTTTCCTCTACATAAAGAGCCATATCAGATGGTGTTATAATTTTTGCTTTAGTAATCAAATAATTTAGAAAACTCGAGAGGGAAAAGCTATTACATTTATTCATATTTTTGCTTGTGTGCTCTTGTTTTCTTTCCTAATATTCCAAGATTCCTTTGAAAACCATTTTCTTACTGTTAGAAAATTTTCTTAGCCATTCTTTTAGTGTAGTTCTGTCTATAAGCAAAAAATTCTTAGTTTTCTTTCATCTGAGAATGTCTGAGAAATCGAATAACTTGATTTCTCCTTCATTGCTGAAGGACATTTTCTCTGGGAGGACAAGTCTTTTCTTTTAACACTTGAACAATGTCGTGTTACTTTCCTTTAGGATTCTCTGTATTATCTTCTGAAATCTGCTG